AAGTCACAAGAGCTACTTTAAATGTCTAATTAATTTAGAATGTACAAGTTAATATCTTAATTTAGGGATTCAAATTCTTTTTAAATGTCTGAGAGAATGAATAAAAAAGTCTAAAGTTTCTCTTAATTCAGTTTCATCTAATCTGTGAGGACTACAAACATTAAAGTGACTTAGTCGTAATCATATAATTGTTGCAAGATAATATAGGATAGAGTTAAAATGTATATGTTCTCAAATTGCGCATTTTCATACCTTAACATGTTTGGATTTAAGTTTTAAACTACAAATTTCCTGGGAAAGAGAGAATTGAAGCTATGAAGAACACTTGGGTTAATCCACGTACAGAGTTCCATAATACTAAATGCATACTCTGAATCAAACTAAGCCATTTATTGGAAAAGTTTAATAAAAATAAGATCACCCATGAGAATACAGAAGAGATATACTGGGATAATTTTGTAATAAGCTATTGATATACATACAGCTAAAAATGAAGAGATTTCTTATGAATTGCCAGATGTACTCATAATTAATATATTTTTTCCACAAAAATGTTAGTCGCTAAGCAACCAAATATTTTGATTGTATTTATAAAACTATTTATTTTCTGCACTTAACTAGGATGGCACTATAAACTTGAATGGCAAAAAAAAGAATCTTTATAAACTAAACAAAAATAGCAAATAGATTTTTCTTATCTAATTCGTGTATAACTTTAGGGCATTCTATTTTTTAAATACAGGCAGTCCCCGGGTTACGTACAAGATAGGGACTGTAGGTTTGTTCTTAAGTTGAATCTGTATGTAAGTCGGAACTGGCGTCCAGATTCAGCCGCTGTGAATGGCAAAAAAAAGAATCTTTATAAACTAAACAAAAATAGCAAATAGATTTTTCTTATCTAATTCGTGTATAACTTTAGGGCATTCTATTTTTTAAATACAGGCAGTCCCCGGGTTACGTACAAGATAGGGACTGTAGGTTTGTTCTTAAGTTGAATCTGTATGTAAGTCGGAACTGGCGTCCAGATTCAGCCGCTGCTGAAACTGACCGCC